TGACTGGTCTTGTCATTAAAATAATCTTTACTGGCTCTTTATTTTTGTCTGTTAGTCATCTGTAAACAGTCATTCAGATTCGTGTGTGAAGTTTTGAAGAGCAGACCAACTTTTTCTCTTAGCGCGTTAGAGTAGGGATGACCCCATGACACCGCTTCTCTGCTGGGCTGGGCTGAAAGTCAAGAGTCTCTGTGCTTCAAGGTCTCTCCCTGCCAGGGTGCACAAGGAGAGCAGAGCTGATGCGTTGTGAAGCAGCCAAGGCCCTGGCTTCACTCCATGCTGTAGTCTGTGGGCAGGGTTATGTAGTTTTTCAGGTAGATAGATGTGTACTTAATTAGTTGAATAGCATCTTTCCATTAGGAATATTGATAGATTTTGTTTCCTAATGGTAGAACAGATTTTTCTTATGTTAAAACTGAAAGTTCCTAGCTTTTCATTTCCAGAACTAAGTAACAACTACAGGCACAAAACATAGACATGGTATCTGTGTAGCTAGAAGCGTCCTGAAGGCATGTTCTCACAATTATTTAGGGAGATCTGCTATTTCCATGCGAACCTTTTGTGTCTGCACCTCACCATGGATGTTTGAATTCAGTGTGGACTAGATATTGTTTTAACATTTCTCAGCCCTGCATATCTTGACTGATCAACTTACATGGGCAGCATTTGGGAGTCTCACTGCCTTCATGTGCCTCTCTGATGCGATTTGATCTTGTGTGGTAGCTGGTTAACTCTTTTTTTTTTTCCCTGTGAGCCATGATAGAGCTATTATTCAGTACCAAAATTGCCAACATTTGTTTGTACGCAGTTAAAATATGTTAACCGAACTCTTCCTATTCAGAAGAAGTCCATCGTAGTTCAAACCTGGCATCCACTACGTTTAAGGAAATGGGAAGCAAATTTTTTTTCAGATTTCTTAGGAAACCTTAGGATTTCAAAATTAGATGTTCTGCAATTCTAAACAACAGTGGGAAAAATCAGGATGTTGCAATTGAGGAATATAATCTATGTGCAGAAACAGCAAAAATGTTGAGGATATCTCTAAGGTGGTGATTTTTTTTAAAAAAGACTAGAAATGTTCACAGCAAATGATTCTGACAGTTCACTATCTGTGCAGTGTCTGAATAAAAGTGCTGCACACGGGGAATTTGTGGGCGCTCACCAGTGCGGCAGTCCAGTCAGCTGCGGCAATTGCAGTCCTCAGAGCTGTATTCCATGCTTACAGGGTTATGAGGTGTTTTTTTCACAAGAGAAAAGGAATTGCTTTATAAATTGTTTAGCTGGTTTTGCATATTTTCTGCTTGAAGAAGAAGGAAACCGTAGTCTTACACCAGCTGAGTTAATGTTAAAATGTCTCAAAGCTTTTAAGTAGATTGTTTTGAAAACAAAGAGGAAAAAAAGACTTATTTATTGTTAATAATATTGCTTCATTTTTTAACAAAGTTTATTTTAGCTTTAACTTAAAAGCATCTTGTGCACCTTTCCTTTTAGGAAGAAAGTAGTTTATAAAAAGCCAAACTGTGGCTGTTTTGAATTTAAGAAATTTCATAGACTTCAGTGGAACCCTGTTGATTTATTCAATTAGCTTGTCCTATGTCAACAGGAGTCAGAGGGCTTACTGCTGCGGAAGCCACTATGTAACTGGGCAGAGGATGAACTTTGGGAAGGGGGAAGGCAAGAAGGGCATGAGGAGGCCAGGGAGGCCTTACTGCCAGCAGCTCAAGCTTTAATTGCAGCTTATCTAGCAGTAGGTCACTTACTAAAGAGCCAACTTGGTATTACTAGCATGGAGTCCTTTCACATTATAACTCAAACCAGAAGTGATTACTATAAACAGCCTTGGTGATTTTTTTTTTTTTTTTTTAGCCTTTGTTTTTTTTTTTTTTTTTTTTTTTTTACCCAAGTAGTGGATGAATGATAATAGTTTTCTCTACCTTGAAGATACGTAGCCTTACTGCTTACTCTCTATAGACCTATATGCAGAGGATGAAACAAAAGGTAGCAAATTATTTTTGCTTTAAATCCTTATTAGTAAGTTAAGCATGGATGTGTGACTAATATTTTGTTTCCAGCATTTCACCCTTGAATACCTGATAATAAGCAGCATATGTATCAGCTTGGCTCTTCCGTTATTGTTAAGCCTCTTTATCAAGTGTTTCCTGATTTACATAGTAGTATTGAGAAGTTTGGGAGTAATGGTCATATTTGTTTACTTATTTTCATTGTTGAGATCATTAAGTAATGTTAATGAAGAATGATTATCAATTAGTTTAATTTTCAAACATGTCCAAAATCTATTAATGTAAGCTGTTTACTAATTTTTTTTTTCTTTTCACAGCAGGTTTAAAAATGCATAGCTGTCTAGGCAAGCCTTCCTATTTCATTTCTGCTTGGAGTATGTAGGCCCCATTTAACAGCCCAAGAGCCCAAGCACCTCTAACTGCTGCACATGAGCAACATGCTCTAGATACCTATAGCAAGTGTACTTGTCCGGCGTAATTAGCTGTACTGGGCATGGCACTGAAGGCTATTTGGCTCAAAGGACACTCCAAAGCAAACTACATCTGAAGCAGCAGTATAATTGATAACTGAATGCAGTTATGAAGCAGACTGAACTGGCCTTAATATGTAGAATTTGGTTACAACAATAAATTTCTGTAGACAAAACAGCCAAAAGAGGTAACCTCAGAGCCTGCTTGCTGTGGGGTTAAATTTACACCTGCCCCAAGGATGTAAATCCGGAGGTGTTTACTAAACAGGACAGAATAAGTCATTTTACATCTGCAGAATGACAATTTGATGGCTTGTATTTAAAAAGACTTACTATGGTTTATTAAAGTTAAATGATAGAACAGCTTGGTAAGTAATACGGCATACTAGGGGCTTCACTTTTATTTTTTCTATGCAAAACTGGGGGGCATAAAGTGTCCTTTCCTTTTAGAATTGCCTATTATCATAGAAAGTCACTATAATAACTAGTGTTGAAAGGCTTTTTCATATTTAAGCCACTTCTGAAATAGGTTAAATCTCAGTTATCGGGTCCTTTAAGTCCTACCTTATTTTTAGCCCTCAACAAAATAGAGATATGAAGTAAGCTCTAAAACCACAGACCTAATGCTCCACACTTCACACACACATATTCTGTCAGAATAAAAGCATTTTTCTGACCAAAATAATAGATTGCTTTCTTTTTCATGTCTTCCATGCTCGTATGAGTTCATCTGTAATGTGACATCAAATAATAGTAGTAAAAAATTAGATGGATACACCCCATGTTGTACCTAATAAATACGCTTAGGAAAGCCAGATGATGTTTGCGTCTTTATGCACGACTGTCATTTAATTCATTACGCTGGAGCCAGTGTAATTACAACGCGCTGGTGTTGTAATTGAGGTGATTTCAGTTTTCAATAAAATAAAAATTTAAAAAATTAGCATTTTTGAGGAAATAAACCCAAATATTTCATTCCTTATTTATGAATTACTTATTTATAAACTCATGTTTGTCAGTCTTGGGTGTGTATTTTCATGTAACTGTGCAAAGGGACGTGGACAGGAGGACATGAGTGCTCAGGATTTGAGAAAGACATCCCAAGATGAATGGGTTGGATGCTACTGAGATGTTTATCTGTTGCTGGAGTTATAGAATGTGATGTAGGTTCAAGCTTTCCCCTATATTCGCACTTTCTCTGCTCCAAATACTATGTGTAAGGTCTCTTTATTTCTCATAAAAAGTCATTCTGTTTCAAAGAGATGGCAGCATGTATTTATACGTATGCCTGTATGAATGTAACATTGAGTGTTTTATTAGTGTCTTGCAGAAGAGTGAAGTGAATTACACTGAAAGCTGAAACAAACATTGTAGGGACCTTGTAAAAATTGACTGTTCTGTAAGGATTGAAGGAGAATATATTTGAAACCCCAGGGATAAGTCGAAGTGGCCTTTATGATGGATTGTTAGCTGCTGGAGGTATAGACCTTAGTTCAGGTTTCACTGTATTATGCAATTTCTGCTTCAAATATTAATTCTGACCTAGTGTTTTAATAATTATTAGAAAGTAAGAAATCAATATAATTCTGGTAATTTAAATCACAGGGAAAGTAGGAATAAATAGCCAAATCAATTGTTATATTATCAAAAGTATCTGAATATATTTTTATTGGTTTATTGCATTTGTCATCACCAACACAAAGACAGCAGAATTGGCAATCAATGCTGCTTCTCTGCTTCGATGACTTGATGCTCAGAGGGAGGCAGAAAGACTACTTCAAGGGTCTAAATCCAAACTGTAGGTCCTCGGAGCTCTGTCAGCCACTGCTCCTGCCTAGAAAAATATAGGCAGTTTCTTTCAGCATGAAAATCTGTTGGTCATGAAAAGGTCTTTTTTCAGGCATGTACAGAAATATTCCATTCTTGATAAGCAAGTATCTTGGTATCCATCTTATATCTAAACCTATGGCTTAATGGCTTATATCTAAGACTTATATCTAAACTTCAAAGAGGACTTAGATATGAATTAGGTATTTCTACAGTTACCTTGCATCTCAGGCTAAATCCATTTAGAAGGATAACGGGAGAATGTGATTATCTTTCAACTTCCAAATGAGTGTGCCCTAACCAGCAAGTCAGGAGAGTTTACAAGGTGGCAGTTACACGTAACAAAACACCAAATATGCATCTTACTCAGTACTTCCTAATTATTAATATATTTTAATCTTCTTACCTTGACATTTTCCAAGGTAGTCCTAGTTTTATTTTGCTTCATAAAATAATTATTGCACCTCAAAGACATAAAAGAACTGACAATCTTCTCCATTTTGCTTTCTTTCAGGAATTAAGTTGGGAAGCTGCAGAGCATTAAAGTGATGTGTTTAATGTGTGGTGGCATCCTATGTGCAGAACATTTTATCTGACAGTTTTCAGTAGCCCCAAACTTTTTGACTTCCAAGGTGGAAGGGGTAGATTCTTGGATACTCCTGTGCCTACAAAATAACCAAAAATGAAGGAGGACAACTGTTTACATGCCGCTCTCATCTGCCTGGGTATGCTGTATTACAGCCATGCCATAACTACAGAAAAACTGAACCACGCAAGGCCATCGCTTCATGGTCATCATGAAAAAGGAAAAGAAGGACAAGTTCTGCATCGTTCAAAAAGAGGCTGGGTGTGGAATCAGTTCTTTGTTATAGAGGAGTATACGGGACCAGATCCTGTACTAGTAGGAAGGGTAAGAAAGAATTTATTTTTCATACATTGATTAATAATTATTAATTTATGTTACTATTTTGTGAGTTGCTTTTTTTTCTTGCCATTTCTTTTCTGTTCTATTAGCTGCTTCTTCAGCAGCTACTTATTCACCTAGAATTAATCGTTTTATTGTAGCTCACTTAAGGTGCTAAGCAAAATACTACCTAAGCTAATAGGAATTTTTCCATTGGCCTCAGCAGCCTTTGAATGAAGGCGTACAAGCTGTTATTTAACACAACAGGAAGAACCACAGCAACCACTTGAGCAACAATATGTCTCAAGAATATCTGGTATCATTCATGGGTCTTTAAAAATAGTAATTAAAAGTGTAAACTCTAACCCAGCAGCTCAGTAAAAGTGTACTGCTCAGTAGGTATCTCTTCATTCTTTCATTTTTAAGTTATCAGGAAAATTAAATATATGAGGGGTATGTATAGAGGGAGATATATATTTGTGTTCACATGTGTATGTACACACATCCTAGACTAATTTTTTATTCTGTTACTGTCTAACACTAACAGAATATAAATACATAAATAAAACAGTATATTTGACAGTTTATAAATGGTCAGCAGAACTGTGTTGACTTAACCCCAGCACAAAAGCGTGGAGAACAGGATCAGTGACAGCAAATACCATTCTGGGTATTCTGGTTTAAAAGATGGTTAGTATTGTGCAATTCGTAGATGTCAATATAAAATCAATAAATCTATAATTTGGCTCAAGTTTCCATCATTCATCAAACTGAAGTGTGCATTGGTTGTGAAAGTAAGAACGTTTAGTGAGCATTTGTTGCTTCTTTTCTATTAAAGAGGTTGTAATCAAAAACGAGTTGGCAATCACTGATTGGCTTGTTTGTTACATCCCATCTGTCACTTAACAGCTTTGTACGTGCAATCTAGTATGAAGTGTACAAAAGCTTTGTAAAAATGACTCTTCCTTCCATCTACATTTGACTAAGGAACCTGTTGTAACTATCTTCTCATGTATTCTCTTTCTCAAACCTTAAAGCTTGGGTCTCAGTAGCACCCTACGTGTTGCAGCATGCAAGTCTGTGCAGGCAGCTTCTCTGAACGCAGGGCAGATGTGCTCACAGCATGTGCCTGAGTATGCATCATTGCCTGATGTAAGACAAGGGTTTTGAAAACTATTAAATGATAGCAATTTCATGAACTTTTTTGTTTCATAAACGCATACACGAGACGTATACCATCTTGTTAAGGTATGTCTGTTTCTCATTTTGTAGCTTCATTCAGATATTGATTCTGGAGATGGAAACATTAAATACATTCTCTCAGGTGAAGGAGCAGGAATCATTTTTGTTATTGATGACAAATCAGGGAACATCCATGCAACAAAGACACTGGACCGGGAGGAGAGAGCTCAGTACACTCTCACAGCACAAGCTGTAGACAGGAACACTAACAGACCTTTGGAACCACCTTCTGAATTCATTGTTAAAGTTCAAGATATAAATGACAATCCGCCTGAGTTTCTTCATGAAAACTACCATGCTAATGTGCCAGAGAGATCAAATGTAGGTAAGTACTCATAAATGCGCTTCAGTTCCTGGCCTTATGGAAGATGTTACATTGTCAGTACGTCTTGGCTTTATTTAATTCTTATAGTCTATAATTTTGGGAAATAAAATTTATTTCATGCTCAGCCAGTGACTCAGTCAATTTATCTAATTTGCTGGCCAACTCAAACACTACACAGCTACTAACTGTCATGCTTGAAGTGTCTCTAGATGGTTCCTAGAACCAGGGCTATTTCCTCCTAGGAAGGAACATGAGGGTCCCCTGGAATTTATGGAGTGTGAATCCTCTGGGGTAAACATCAAGATCATTCCTTTGGCAGAGCTGTGTAATAAAGCTAAGGAGTTACTGTTTGCTGTTTTTGGCTGTGATAGAGTTAATTTTCTCCATAGTGGCTAGTACGGGACTATCTTTTGAATTTGTGCTGGAAACAGAGTTGATAACACAGGGATGTTTTCGT